ATTTAAATCGAGCAACTGAGCAGACATCTGAGTACTTTTGCCAGTACTTGAGTACAGGCATATAATCGAAACACACGACGTGAATGCTTCGTGGCTTCTGACCTGTCTCAGTCCTCTGCAGTATTACACCTAGCGTGGTTGGCTCTTGGTTGAAGGTGGTGTCTCCAGGCTCAACAGCAGTAACAGTCTTTAATATTAAAACCAGATTGGAAATCCAGAGTTGAAATATAACTTACTTTTTGCTTTGTTTTAAACATAAGTGCAGGAAATAGGCCTGCTCTCAAGAATTTTCTCATGTGGAAGGTGTTGTTCCCATTTTGAAATGCAAACTCTTATCGCTTTAATATGTTTGAATAATAGCATTTTGGTGGTGCTTGAAAAATAATAATTTCAGAGGCATCAGGCTTCATACTTTACCTAGCTGACAGTGATCTGTGAGCATCACGCTTGGTTTAAAAAAATTCAAAGTCCTGGAAAATTATAAAAAAAAGCAGCTGACAGTTCTTGCTGTGGTGAGCTAGAAGGGAGTATAAGCAAGGGTGGGGAGGTAATGACAAAGCGATTTAGATTTTTAAAAATAATTTAAGAAAGGAATGTGCTTGCAGTACCTGTTTATAACCTTTAATGTGGAAAATGCAGCATTCTTGGTTTTTCATTGAATTTTGGCTGATTGATTGGCTTTTGTTCTGGCAGTACTGTACCAAACCAAAAGGAATGCAGAAAGTAAGGAATATGCTTATGCTATTTTAATGCCATTTTGAGTAGTAATATTACCCATGGTTCGCACACAACAGTACCGAAATTTTGCAGCAATAATAAAGACATTCAAATTCCTAGATATTTAGATTAGACAATACTGTTAGATGCACAAATGCAAAATGTGTGGTTTTGACCTCATACACAAAGGAGGACTTTAAAAGACTAATCTTCCATTTTAATCCAGAATTATTCTGGATGTCCTTTTTAGGTCTTCAAGATCGTAAGCAGGTATATCAGGTACTGTTGAAACAGTATGCTTGAAATAAAAGTACTTCTGTTACAGCAAAACCTGACAAAACATGCCCAGAGATGTAAACGAGTAAGGATGGTTCTGGAATTTACTTGAAATTGTTTGAATAGTTGTTGTAATTCCGAATCTCCCCAAAACCTCAGTACTGGTAATTAACAGCAATCCCAATGAATATTGAACAGGGGAATGCATAATGTGATGCGTGAGCAGACCAGCAGCCTGCTTGTCTGAACTGTGATAGCAATATACGTTTAATTTGCTTTGGTAATTATAAACCTCTACTTAGTTAACAAGAGAACCTCTTTGAGAGATCTGGCAGTCGAGAAAGAGCTAGTTTAAAACCAGTGTGAGCAAGGTGGATAATCTGTTGTGCAGTGTGTCACTTTCTGCTTAGAATCAAGCAAGTGGTGACAGGGTTAGTCCAAGCCTTTTCAGCAAAATGGTCTGATGCTGTACCGGCCATCCAGCGCCACTCCTGCCTGGAACTCAGAGCTTGCCTCCCTTGAATTTCCTTTTTAGATGCCTGCTGTAGTTTGCATTTGGCTAGGTAAGTCTGGCCGTCATGCCTGGGTATTTCCTACAACAGAAATAGAAGGTTTAAAATCTGAAATTATAAAGTCAGAGGTCTCTTGGTGATATTTTTCTTGTACATTTGTGGAGCATAACTTCTGATAGGTTCTTATAACTTTCTTTCTAAGCTAATTAATTGCAACACTTATGTTGAAATAATACGTCTGCATCTTGGAACAACGGAATGTTTCAGTGGAGGTGAATCTTTGGGGAAAGTGTCAACATCAGGCTTTTGCTTCCCTTTTTAAGAAGTGAAATGTTTTTTTGCTTTAGAAATTGAAAAGGTTATACCAGTTGTACAACAAGAGAAGTGTTGACTTCCAAATGCTTACTTAAATAATATTTGGTAAATAGAGCTTAAGTTCAGTTTTGTAAGTTACTTGTAGGATTATAAAAACAAAATACATTTACTCCATGGAGATTTTTTTTCCTAGCAAAGTATGCTGACATTAAAGTATGTTGTAGAAAGTTGTAGTCCCTGGGGTGCTGTTCCTGTAGTCCTCCCTGCGTGAGGGGGTACTATATTCTAGCCAGACACCACTGCTGCTCTGGAGCAGTTGTTTCCTTCTTTGTATGTTTGTGTCTGCTCTAGTAGCCAAGCTTAATCAACATTCAGTCTTTCTACCCGCTTATCTGCTGGCTGAAATATTCTGTCTTCGGGGTTGTGAGAAGCTGTTAAGGAGGGAAGTGGTTTTCCCGTGGAGCTGGTATGTTGTGGGATAATGCCCCCTGCCGCTCTTGAGAACCAGCCTCCTGCCTGAGCTACTTATTTCCTCAGAGGCCAAGGGAGGTACAAGTCCTGCCAGAACGATCCCGTGTGTAAGCACTGGCCAGGCACTAGGCTCTCTTGCCTGCAACATAGCTGACTTTTAATTTTCGATGGGGAGAAACAAGCTGCACCTATTTTTAGGAAACCTGATTCCCAGTGTGGCATTTAATCTGTAGATACAAATATAGTTTTGGAACTGCAGTGGGGAACTCAAGTGGATGAAGTGATCAGTGTTTTCCTGAGGTGGCAGCAGGGTCATGGAAGGTTCCAGAGTGGGTGTTCAATGCCTCTTCCCTCCCTGCTCCCTCCCCGCTGCTGCTTCTCCTCCCCTTCTCTGCTCCCTCAAAAAGCCCAGCAAAAACAGCCCACCCGCACGCAGAATTCCCAGCAAAGCTACCGTAGTGTGCATTGGCAGTGCAGAGCTTGACCAGAACTTAACAGATTCTGTTTGCAGGGTAGCAAAGAGACTTTTCATCAAAGGAAGTTATTATCGAAGTAGCCATTTCTGATTTGATAATTTTTTTTGGAAGTCCTGAAGACTGGAGACATGCCCAGTCATTTCAGACACGTCCTTAATCCATCTTCAGTCCATTTTAGGCATTCAGTAGAGGAAGGATATAAGTAGATGAGTACAGGAAAAGCAAAAGGTAGGAGGCATGTAGATTGGTTTCTGTTTTAAAATTTAGTTATTTTTGTTGTGTTACTGAAGTGTTATCTACTTGTGTAAGCAAGCAGTAATGATCTGGATATAGGACATGCTGAAGGTTAGAATTGGTAAGGAATTGTATAAAAATGGGATTCAGCTGCTGTAACTTTTTCTCTAAGCACTAATTAGCCACATTTTTGTGTCTGTGGGTATAAAAATTCATGTTATTGACCTCTTGTTAGGCACAAGAGTGTACTGGTGTCAGTATGGAATTTTTCAGGCTGTTTTCTTTTAGTAAAAAAGAACTTGTTTGGGTCAGGAACTTCTACTTTAAGTTAAGACACTTAAATTTTCATCTGAAATACGTGGTAGTGCTATCTATTGACCTTACTTGATAACTTCTCCTTTATTGCAGATTATGATGCATGATTATCACAGAAGAAGTTCATGTCTATAGCTCGTAAGGACTTCATTACATCATCTTCAAGCCTGATAGTTTTGTAATCCATATAGTAGCTGCAAAGGCACGTCTGCTTTTGCATTTCAACAAACATCTTCCCTGTCAGAAGATACTGAAACTGAAGTGCTCTGTTTTAACACAGTGATACCATTGGATTATTTTAAGACCTCCCAGTTAAAAGTTCACAGTAATATATTTGCTAGGTAAGTTGATACTGTTAGCTCGTATACAATAGTTAATACTTTTGCTGAAATTCTGCAAATTTAAAACCTTACTGTCCTTTTTTTAATAAAACACAACAAATGAAAGTGTATACAAATGAATAATGATCTTTGTAAGGTTATTGTTGCCAGTTTAGGGTCAAATGCTTTCAGTAGTAAGTGAATTTAAAATAAATGGATTAACACTAGAATTATTTTGTGTGGGGCTTGCTGTTTTTATTACTTCTTTTTTGCTATCCACTTTTTCTGTTTTGGGAGCTTTCTTGTTTAGTCTGATCTTCAGGATTTTCTTAAACTTCAGATGGAAATAAAATGTTGCTGGTAACATTAGTAGTATCCCACATATTATTTCCTCTAAAATTGTTGAGGAAAGTATACTTCTGCGTATGTTAGCAACTCAAACTTACAGATTTGATTTTTTTTTTTAAACTATTATTTCAAATTCATTAGGTCACATCAGGGTCATATTTTAGTATTCTTAATTAGCTTCCTATTTGGAAAGTGGAATTTTCCTGAAAGTGCTTAGCTAAAAAAAGAATCAATTAAATGAACTATAAAATAGCTTCCAAATTAAAACATTCCTTTACTGAAGTTATTTTTCCAGTCTTCGTCCAACATACCAGAGGTGGTATGTTTGTATATGGGTGAGATCTTCAGGGGAACTTGTTCTAGCTTTGTCGTGACATAAATAAAGTACACAGTCATTGCTGAGAATGTCTTTAATTCTGTCTGTTAGTGCCAATGTTCTTTCATGAATTCCAGCAACTGTAAAATATTTAATTAAGTCATTACTCATAAAATTAAGCAAATAATTATTTCTGTAGCTATTCTACTTCACTAGTTACTTTACATTTTCAGTTCTTATTTTTCAGCGTAGCTGGTTTTTGAGTCTTTGCAAAAAAATGAAGCTGACCAGTATGACAGATTTCATTCAGTGAGCAGAAAATAGTTGTGAATCTACCAAATTGGATCTTTAGAGAGGGGAATGTACCCTCTTGCATAATCCAGTGGTTTCCACCTTGCTCCCACAGAGCTAGCACAGGTGGTTTTGGAGTTAGTACCTACTGAAGTGATGTGGATAAGTTAAAAGTTGTGGCCTCAGTTTCTGAAAATCATGAATCCAGTCAATCCAAAGGATTGTTGTCAACATGTACTCATCAGCAGTAGTACTCTTCTAGGCTTTTTTTTTTTTTGAGGGTTTTTTTTTTTTAAATTCCCCATGGATGTTTGTTTGCAAACAATGTGTTAATAGTACTTCTCTACGGAAGTAAAACATTGTATCCGTAAACTTTATACATTCTGTTTTCAGCCAGACCAACACCAAAATGATTCCTAATGGATATTTGATGTTTGAAGATGAAAACTTCATTGAGTCATCTGTTGCCAAACTAAATGCCTTACGTAAAAGTGGTCAGTTCTGTGATGTCCGTCTCCAGGTACCTTTTTTCAGTCCGAGTATAATGGTTGAATGCGGTGGGGTTTTCGTTACGCTGTGTAATGCTATGTGCTCCATTGATTGTGACGCATGAGATTTTAGAATCTGATTTTTCTGAAAAATGCATACTTAAAACCAAAAATCAGATATACTTTGAGAGAAGTGATGCTGACCTTTTTTTCAGCTGACCTAAATTGGAGACACTATTGATTTGAAAAGTGACATTCACTTGGGTCAGCCTTTATGCTATTTTAATACAAACGTACTTTAAAAAAAATTCTTACCAGCATGTGGGTTTCTTATTTGTGTTTCAAATAAAGGTATGTGGACATGAGATGTTGGCACACCGAGCCGTGCTAGCTTGCTGCAGTCCCTACCTGTTTGAAATCTTCAATAGTGATAGTGATTCTCATGGAATTTCCCATGTTAAATTCGATGATCTCAATCCAGAAGCTGTTGAAGTTCTGTTGAATTACGCCTATACTGCTCAGTAAGTAGTTTTCACAGAAATAAGTAGTATTCACAGAAATTAGAGAGACTAGACTTTAATTTAAAGAATAAAAATAGTAAAGATAACATTTTTTAAATAGGTTGAAAGCTGATAAAGAACTGGTGAAAGATGTGTACTCTGCAGCAAAGAAGTTGAAGATGGAGAGAGTTAAGCAGGTACAGTTCTCAGCTCTTGCAAAATTCCATTTTGCTTTCTCAGGCTGACAGTATTAAGCTCTTTGGTGTTAATAAGACAAAAATGATGGTTCTGTTGGAAAAAGACTGAGTGGATAAGCTGCTTTAGGTGTTCATTAGCATTGTATTGATTTGAGTGACATTAGCTTGTATTACTTCCACTTGCGTTATCTTTGTGCTGAAGGGTTCTCTGAAGTTTTGTATTTGTGCAACCCTATAAGCAAAATGGCTTCTGAGTCACAGCTGATTACTTCCTTCAGGTTCGAGGAAGTGGTGGGGTACTTGGTTGTGTTGGAGGCATAATTAAACCTGTACATCTGTGGCAGTGATATGTGAAAGAATAATCCACACACTCCTGAACATAAGTTTGGTAGCTCTTGACTTTAGAAATACTTGCTCTTGCTGTATATAGGGATACCTTTGACAAGGGAATTGGGATTCTTGTCTTCCCTTGCCTGCAGATAAGCAGTTTGAATAGGCATTCCGTAGAAAAGCATGGGGTCAATGTATATGTGAGTAGCTTTCAAATGTATGTGACTTTTTCTTTTAATATATGCATATTCCTGTGGAAGGGAACCTTTTATTTACAGGTCTGCAGTTACAAAACAGCTCTTGCTGTGTGTTGGGATGTATAATTTAAACATGTAAAAATCTTGTATACTTGTAAACTAAGATGCAGCCTTTTTTCTTAAAAGGTTTGTGGTGACTATTTGCTCTCCAAGATGGATGTTCAGAGCTGCATCTCTTACCGAAACTTTGCAAGTTGTATGGGAGACTCACGTTTGTTGAACAAGATTGATGGCTACATTCAGGAACATCTTTTACAGATTTCAGAACAGGAAGAATTTCTCAAACTTCCACGGTTAAAGGTTAGCTTAAGTTTGTAGACTTCCTTCTGGTACGTGACTTCCAAAAGGCAACCCAAGGGGCAACTATTACGGCTTCCTTTTTGGGAGTGGGAAAACTTGGTGTACTGGCTTTTACCAACAATGTGAAAATTCTGGATCTGTATAATATTCATACTGCTGTGAACCCTAACTGTAGAGAATACTTACTATCATCCTTTCTAAGGGTAGAAGATAACTGCAGTTGTACTTGAATGTGTTTTATACTTTCAGTGTTATAGGCTGAAAGCTCCTCATAGGTGGTGTTTTCTCACCCTGCGGTAAAGTGAGAGTAATGCTCGCTACATGAAGTACAGTATACTACAAATACAGTGGTTATACCTGTAGAGTAAACCACCCTTTCCTCTTCTAATTCAAGCTTGAAATAATGCTGGAAGACAATGTTGGCCTACCCAGCAATGGCAAATTGTACACAAAGGTAATCAACTGGGTACAGCGCAGCATCTGGGAGAATGGAGACAGCCTGGAAGATCTAATGGAAGAGGTTAGTCTTTAAGAAAATGGGATTAAACAGCTGTTTGGTTGGTTTTTTGTTTTGTTTTGTTTTGTTTTTAAAAAAAGTCAATGTGAAGGATGATCCCTTTTTCTTTTAATTTTTTTTATTTTTTCACTTTTTAAACTGTGACCCTAAAGAATTTAAATTTTACTGTAGGTACCCCTAAGCTGAGAAACTGGGGGGGTGTTCAGGTGAGCTGAATGAACTGTTCAGTCTGGTATTCCGCTTTCCTTTTTTGCTCACTATGTGCTGTATAGTTACCTCAAAGTGGCGTGTCATCTCGCTTTAGAACTGGGGAGGTGGTACTGAAACTTGCCATAGATTCTTGATGTTTTCCTTTGCAGGTTTTGCTTGTAAATGCAAAGTAGGTAAAAGCTTCTAATGGTTGTTCCTCCCCGTTGATTTATCTCCCCATAGGTTTATTAACAAAACTAGGATACCAAGGCTGAAGAACCAAGAAGAAACCTCAAGTGTATTGACACGTACAGAAGCAGCAGTCCTGCCCCAGTTCTCCTAAGAAAATCCGCTGTGGGCAGAGAACGATGATGATGATTTAATGGTGTTTACTTACTCCTTTACAGGATACATTCTTTTAAGTTGTGTGTTATTAAATGGCTTTACTCGTGAATACTAATACTAGATGTAGCCTGGTCAGTTTTTAATGGAAAAATGAGCAGGGAATCTAAATTTTTAATTGGCTAGAGAAAATGGACTTAACCCGTGAAACATCAAAATTTTCCCAGTTTGTTAGATCTTTGGCAACGCTTGTATAGGCAAAAGTACATGTTGATACTGTCGTATAGTCTCAAGTGTATCATTCCTCTTGGAAAAACTAATTTTAAAAGCTTTGGTCATGTTGAAATTCAGATGGATTTCACTGCAACAGTTGCATCTGATGTTTAGTTGTGGACAACAGTTTCCTACAGAACTGAAATTTGTGTTGTCTTCCCTCATCCCCGTACCTTTCTCTTAGAGTCCACTGTTGGCTTCTCTTTAACTTTTTTTGATCAAGATAAATATGTGTATTTTTCAAAGCAGAAAACTTGTTTGTGGGGATAATGAAAATGCTTGCATGAGATTGGGAATTTGTGTAATTCTGCAATTTAATGTGCATCTTGCTTGTCTAATGTTTCTGTGCTGGAAAAACAGTAGAAGTCCTTGGAAAACGAAGATTTCTCTCAAGCTGAGAAAGTAAGGAGCCTCCATCCCATGTTTGAAGATTGCCACCATGACATCTGCTTCCTTTTAGTTTTGTCATTCTGCTAGATTGAGATGAGATGACGAGAAGTATGCTGGCGCCTGCCTTTTGTAATCTGCCTGTAGCCAAGTAGTAATGGAGACAGTAGCCACATGGGTATTCTGTTGTTGTTTTTGCAGGTTCAAACGCTGTACTACTCAGCTGATCACAAGCTGCTTGATGGAAATCTGCTAGATGGACAGGCTGAGGTGTATGGCAGTGATGATGACCACATTCAGTTTGTGCAGGTACAAATTGCAGACAGTCTCAGGTAACCCCAGGTAGACTGGAGCAGTTTACAGCACACCTGGAATCTTGTGTACTGGAGCAGAGAAAGCAGCAGTAGCTTTAACAGAAAAATACACGACAAGAAAGTATCCTTCTCAAAACTGCTGGAGGCGATGATTTGGTCTCTGCTGCTGTTTTTTTGGCAGACTGACTCTAAGCCTTTGCAAAACGGAGTGCTTTAGGTTTGACTTCAAAATAAGTCTTAGGCTGTTAGAAGAAAGGAGAGGTAGAAAAGCAGTTGGCTGTAGCAAGTCAGCTGTGGCTTTGCAGAGATACTCAAGAGACTGTGAGGAGTCATGGACTGCTGGGCTTGCGGTGGAGAATGGCTGTTAATTTTGGCACAGAAAAAGATTCCAGACATAAGTTCTAATCTTTCATCTGCCAGTGTCTGTTTCTTTTGTTCAGCTGCACTGGTAATGTGCAGAAGAGATTTAAAAAAAGCAGCGGTAGGTAATTTCTGATCCAGAGATAGCCAACTGTGTACAAATCAATCTTGTGCTTTTTCAGATGAATTTTTTTAGTTCTAGCCTGATACAATAATTCTCAACTCCTGAAAAACGCACAGCTTGGTACAATCAAGGCTGTTCAAGAAGCAAAGAATAAACAAGGGCTAATAGATGTAAATTATTATACAAATTAATGTTGTTTAAATTCCCTGAGTTAGGAGCAAGTATATTGTAATATTTTAACTCGTAACAGTGGAATGTGCTGATACAAAAGTATAGTTCTTGAAATTTTTAGATAATGTTTATGTAGAGCACTCTCCATCCCAGAACATGGATTTTAGAAGTGAAAAGAGAGGAAAATGAAAAGCCAGCTAATTTTTTGGTTTCTGAATTGTTTTTAGTAAGCCTTCACGGATTTCACCATCTCTGGATACTACTCCTTGTAATAGGTAGAAGCTGAGAGGTGAACATCCAGAATGTTTGCTTTCAGAAATAAGGCCGAGAGTTCTCAACTTCTTCTTTTAAAAAATCCTTTCTGATAATAAGAATTGCCAACTTTAGACACGCTAGACTGTTGAGAGAACTAACACCAGAAAACCCACGGATGTTAGTCTTGGAAAAATTGTAACTTTTAAATCTTTGAATTACAAGAGTTTGTAACTTCTGTACCTGTCAAGGCAGTTTAAGGATAAGGGAATAAGCTGTTAATTGGATGAAGATTCAGAAATAACAAAAATGCTGTTGACGATTTGATTTTCATGGTGAGCTGAGTATAGCAATCAGACTCTTCTGTGTAAGGTTATCCATAAGTTAGATGATGTATTTCAGAAGCCTTATGACAGTTTCCATAGAGATCAGGCTCCAGGGAGCTGTGCAGGCATCGCCAGCTTGGTACTGTGATCAGAAACTTTGCTGCTAAACAGAATAGACAGAACAGTAACTTTTTGTGTTTGGTTCTTATGATTCATAAAAAGCCTGAACAACACAACCAACTGTGCAGTGAAGTCTGAAATGTGAAATTTTGGCATTTTTCTTAATTGAGCAAAATCATGTAAGCTACAGTATAAATTTAATTGAAAAAAAAAAAGAAAGCAGAAATCTCCTGTTAGTGGGAAGTATCAAGGGAGTAAAATCCAAGAAACAGCTAATCTGAGCACAGAGAGGAACTGAGGCGAAATTAATTTGTCTTCAGGGAATGGAGAGAATAGTTAATTGACTTACAATTAGCATCATATAATTAACTGAAATTCCAGAAGCAGAGCTTGTGAGTGAGGTTTCTAGTTTGTAAATCAGTTCTCTCCAAGTGGATGTAGGTTTTTCCT